CAATGAATCAGTGCTATTTTCTGCGGCAAGAGGATCGAATTTATATGCATATACGTTTTTGATGATGAAATATGTTAAAGTTGGACAAGGTTCCATCTCTGTCTGGCCAGATATTGAAATAGGAAGCGCCTGTGGATTTCCTTCACAAAATATTGACCCAGGACCTTGAATCAACGAGAAGAAAAATGCATGATCCAAATACTTTTTGTGATTGGAACTCCGAAGCTTCAAGATGCGCTTTTGCTGTGGATACCTTCGATTCAGGGATTTTTTTTCTTTTTACTTGACTTAGTAAACAGTCAGATTCATCCCGGCTCTATATTCGTGTAAGGTCTTGAAAAGGAAAAGAAGGGATAAAAGGCAGGGAACTCTGTCGCAATGGGTTTACGTCAAGCGCCTGTTCTAGGGTTGCTGTCGGGAAAGCCGGATCTTGTTAGACCGACCTTTTTTTCTCATCGTATTGTTTACGTGCTTGTGATCTTGTCACTAACGGTTTTGTTTCGTTTTTGCTCGATTTTGCAGGAGAAAACGACGGAACTTCAGCAAGCAGGCGTCTGAAGTGCTGAATGAGTATTTCTACTCGCACCTTTCGAATCCTTACCCGTCGGAAGAGGCGAAAGAAGAGCTTGCCAGGAAGTGCGGGATCACTGTTTCCCAGGTGAGAGATCCTTCATTATCATTGTTACTTACGGAATCGTGGGCGAAAAAAAAAAAGAGTCGGACATTTGCGAGAGCAGAATGCAACAGAAATGTGCGTCTATCCTTGATCACGTTTTATGGCTTTGATGCCAATCAAAGAAATTTCGGAATCCGAAAAAAATGAAGAAGCACGAGTTGCATGGCGGACGAAAGTCTTACCCTGCTAAAAATTATGCAAATGCAACCCCATAGTCTTCTCCGTCCTTCATTGGGCAGTTGTTTCCTATTCCGCGACTATTGCAGTAACCAACAGATTCGCGCATGATTTCTTTCAGCTTGATCGCGCTGAATTTGATTTCCTGGGTTTAAAATGTGATGTCTGGATTTCCAAGGACAACCTGCCATGAATAGTACGGCAAAATGTTTTCAGAAATGTTCATACGTCGCATTATCCGTCAATTGTAGCTCTGAATTTCAATTGAAAATCAAAAGTTTTGTGATGAGACATTGTCGACTGTTGGGAATACAGTACGTAGAATTTGTATGCGAATTTTTAAAGACGTGAGTGAAAATCAGCTACCTTTTTTCTCTAAATAACATTTTCCTCGTGTTGGATATTTGTTGATGAAGCCGACTTATTTCTGTGTACAATATTTTTGTATCTTTTATTTAGACGTAGTACTTCTTTTTCAAATCCGCAACAAAATTTATTTTTCAACTTGTGTGGCTAAATCAGTCGTCGTTCTTTTTAGATTGGTGATCCAGTATATCTTCGAATCCTCAGTGATTTTTGAGTCTATGCATATCAGTAAAATTTCTTCGACAGGTTTTTTTTTTGTGTACTTTCATGTATGGTACTTTTCAAAGTTCCCTCCGGAAGCAGGCCATTCCAGAACATACTTTCCCAGCGATAAAAGAAGGGCATTTCGAAAAAGTCTCTCTTTTTTTAAAGGGGTGCTAACCTTCGTAGAAGTAAGAGTGAAAATCGTGTTATACCGTCCGACTTCACGTGCTTTCTCTTTCTCTCGTTGGATCATTGGATTCATTGCTCCATTATTTGCCTAGGTGGTCGAGTGAAAATTTCATACCCCTCTCGGCTGCGTTTCCAGAGGAGGAGGAGAACCAGGAAATAAGTGAAGAGAGAGGGTTTGAAATGATTTGCAATTCCAACGGGTCGGTTTAGTTGGGGGTTAAAGGGGGGGGGGTGGGCGAGAGTCGATTAGAGATTCAACTCGGGTCCGGCAGAAATGGAAATCTAGGATGAAATAGACACAAGGGCGGCGAAATCTGCGGCCAGGATCAGGTAGCATATTTCATTAGATGTCCGGGCCTCGTTATCTGCGGGCGAAATTTCTCGTCCGGCCAGCCGCCTTTCCCAGGTCCCGTGTTTTCCGGTTTGGCAGATACCGGCGTCCGCTTCGATCCCCTGCAAAAACCCCCGTGGGTGAGAGAGAGAGAGAAAGCTATAGCAACGTGGCCCGAGTGACCGGTCCGTATCGGTAACCTTATTTATTATCCCAGGCCCGTTCTTCATATATTCTTCCGGCGTCGTCGTCTTATCTGCCCGCCCAGGAAATATATTCCGAATGTCTCGATCCCGGCTCTGGTGTCTGTAACACGGGACCCACGATATCTTCCTATCTGAATATATTCATGCGCCTCCACCTTCTTGCAACACCTCCTTTTTTTTGCGACGCGTGAAAAGAAACGCCTCCGTCTTACACCCCGGGGCTTCGTTAAAAGTTACCATCGATCTACCGAAATCCTCCCTGTCTCTACAAAAAAAAATCCAGAGAGCAAAATGAAATACTAAAGTAAAGGGTGATCCTGAGGCTGACATAAACGCATGTTCTCCGTTGACCAATAACACATGATTCGGAGGTTATCCTTTACCTACTTTCGCTGCGATTCGAAAAATGAAAGAAATTTATGAGGAGAATTATCATTACTGTAGAAGGAAAAATCGTCAAACTTGGATCGTCTTCTGTTCTTCTTGCGGGAGTTACGCTCGTCGCCAGAAAGTTTCACTGCGCTTCCTCAAAAATAAGATCTACAGAAATCATTCCATGAGTATTATCTTTATTTCCAGATGACCACTTTAATTAAATGCAGTATATGACTTACCACGAAGGTAAGAGCTAATGGACAACCTCCCTGAAAGTTGATTCAGAAAAAAGGAGTAACTTCACTACATTTTTTAGCAAGAATATCTGAGGACTCAATGCGCTATTTTTATCAATACTTTTCCATTCATTTGAAATGTTTTACATTCAGTGAAACGTCCCATCTCCGAAACGATCATTGAGATAGTCGGAGCCTAATAAAAAAAAAAAAATTCCCCAGTGAATATATTTTGGCTGAGCAGAGGCTGTGTGGAAGGATGTGAAATACTTGGTCTCTGGTAAGCTTTTCTTGTCGGTGGAGAGAAATATTAATCGCAGGGAATAAATCGGTTGTTGCTTTCGGTAATGCAAATATTTTGCGTTAGATATCATCGTAGAAACTTTTTTCTTGGCCCTTTTTATTCATCACGAGACCCCCATACCTCTGTCTTTCTCGCATGAAGCCTCGCTCTTGCTTTTCATCCGGGTCTCGGGTCTTTGCGGAGAAGAAAAGATGAAGGCATGTTCGCCGGGTTGACAGTCGATTGTCGATATCGCGCGTCTCATTTGCGGCCGGGTGCGCGTGGTTTCATGCCGCTGGACTGATTTATGCTCGGGAAGCGGCGGGATTTTTATCTGTTAACGAGTTATTCCCAGAGGGCCGCCCTGAAGAGAGAGAGAGAGAGAGCGAAAGATCGAGAATGTCCCTTGGTTCGGAAAAGATCTTCATGATGCGTGTTTCTCTTTGTTTTGACTTGACGCCAGGAGAAAATGCGGAATGGAAGCGCGGGTTATATGAAAAAGGGGGGGGGTGTAAGAAGAAGACGCCCCCTGGAAAAAAAAAAGGAGAAGATTGCCGGTGCTGTGTGATGAACAGATGGAAACGGGGGGGAAACAAGCACGAAAGGCTGATTGAAGGCTTTGATACCGACCCGGGTTTTCATGCTCGTTTTTCTCGTATAACTCGGCACTGACGACATCAAGGTTTTACGAGCGGAAGCAATTTTGCGCCGCTGTTGTCAAAAGGTTTTCAGGGTTTTTTTTTTCCCCCCCCCCCCCCCCCCCCCATCATTGGAAAAACCTGTTCTGGGTTACAAGAGTTTCAGGGTTAATTTGTTCCTTGAAATGTCGGATGGGATGCATTCCTTGACATATAGGGAGAACTCCGGGATGTCAGTTGGGGCTCCATCTGGAAGCTCACAAGACCTTTTTTACTTCATGGCTTGTGTGAGGTGGTTTTTTTTTGTATCGGAATTTCAACAGAGGCATCAATTGATATCCAGTGACAGTTGTTCTTGCCAAAAACAAAACAAGAATGCAGAACAGTGTTTTCTGCAGTTTCTTAGTTCAAGAAAAGAGGGGAATTTGAATGAAGTGTCTCAAAATGGTCAGAGCTAGAAGATGAGATTTTACAATAATGATATTGTCTATAATGATTTTCTATGCATGATATACATGTTTTGTCCCATAGGATTCTCTCCCATTTTAAAGGGCCTCTCTACAGTTATTTATTTCTTCTCCCTCGAATTTTTTTGTTAGAGAGAGAGAGAGTTCACCTGTATTTGATACAGTTGATGCTTATCATATTTTATTCAGAGAATTGGACGCAATTCTGAGATTATATTCTTATTGCACTGGATTGATGTTGAGGCATATTTTACACTTTTGTATATTGTTGTGAGTATTGTGAAAATGTAAAAAGCCAACATTTTACAGTTAGAAATACTGTAACACATTTTAAAGAAAAGTTGAGCAATTGTTCCCGTTCGAAACACTCATTTTGTAAAATTCGTCAGTGACTTTCATTTTCTTGACAGTTATGTACTGTATACAAATGTTAGAGTTGCATGGTTTTTACATCTGAACTGCAGGGAACATTTGACTTGCCAACCACTTATTTTTTGAACTCCCCATAAAAAAAAAAAGAAATTTGTTTGCCAACTAAATGTTTTCTCAAAAAAAATTCCCTGTCAAAACAAATGATTTTTTGTCAAAGTTCAACAACAGTACACTGAATCTTCTAGGTGCTTGCTGCAAAAGCGTCAAAAGAAACAGTTCGAAAAAAGTTGAGCATTTTTGACATGGTTTTTTCATGAAGAAAAATACAAAAATTGAGCATAATTTTTAAACCCTTTCAAATAACAAGTGTTTGAATTGTCTGAATTTCGTTAGGCGCTTGTATTATTGTTTACTAAGACTTAAAAAAAATCGTCAGGGCAAAAATTGATCACGTAAATTTGTTTTTATTGAATGTAGAGTTTATTTTTTTTTTCGTGAAAAGAAACTCAACTACAATAGTTCTGTCCTTCAACTCGTGGAAAGGATCGTGAATGAATACATTTCTGTAAAAAAAAATGTCTCTGGTTGGACATGTTGCGTCAACGGTTGTTTTTTTCTATGCCGACTTGTTGATGCGGGGTTACCTGAATGCTTCAGGCTTGAACGGAGCTTTAACAGTTGCCAATTCTGCCAGTGAGTTTGAAAAAAAAAACAATTTTTTGAGTTTCCCTTTTCAAATCAAATTTGAGTAATTTTTGTGTCTCCCTTTGAAGGTGATGCTGGGTACTCGAATACTTCAGGATATTCAGACGAGGTGAGAAAATACTGTAACTTCCTTCATGCTTCAAAAAGTGATGTTTCCAGTCTCCGATTCACTTTTGGCGATTTTGGCAGGACAAATTTTTATTCACAGTAAATTTCGTTTTTAGTACCGAAATTACCGGGAACAGAGTGACGGGTTCGTCAAGGATTACCTCGAGGATATTTCAATGCCAGGATGGAAGGAAACCCGAAAACGCCACGGAATCACCATCAAGGAGTTGTACTTCACCAAGTACAAACGCAGTGTGTTCATGGGCGAGGTAAACAAAAAAAGATGTTGTTGCCTCTTGGAATTCAGAGTTTTTAATTTGTGGCATAATTTCAACAATTATATACAATCTTGCAACACCAGGACTCCACGGGGAGACTAACATGGTTGGTTCAAAAGTTATGTCAGTCATTGTTGCTGTGATGCCTTGGTTGAAGGACTTGAACCATTCTCAGTGAGATATGCATTATGAAAATACAAAGCAGTATAATTGTGTTTTTAAATATCTGGTTTAAAGCGTATTTTCTTCAAGGTTCTTGCAATACTGATATATTTTTCATTTTAGTCTAAAATCTATTTTTCATGGCAATTTATTTTTTCCATTCCAAAATTGCTACTTTTAATAACAGTAATTCAGCGTAATTAAAAAATATATACAATGTTCATTTGAACAAGGATTTATGATTCAGGACGTTGTGATCCAAAGATTTTTCAATCATTTACTGTATTTACTTGAGTACCACATGCGCCTTTTTTCTCAAATTTCAGACGAAAAAAGGGGTGCACGTCATAAGCGGGTACACATTTTTCAAGAAGTTTTAGGAAGTTATGTGTGCATTATACTTAATTATAAGGGAGAAATTTGGAAAAAATGTAACAAGAAATAAAAAAACCTAACTTTTTCAAGTTTTAACTAGTCTAAAAACAAGGTAAGTACAGATGTCAGTTAAAAAACAAAGATAAGAACCTTAAAACACCAAAATCTAAGTGATTCTTAACCCCACGCGTAGAAACTTGGGGATACAATTTTAGCCAAATTTCCAACTGAAAAACCCCTGTGTGCATCTTACTCAAGGGTGCATGGTACTTGGGTAAATATGGTAAAATTATTCACTTTAAAGCTGACCCATAGACCACACAAGTGAGGCTGATCAACTTTACTCTAATAGGAATGAAATAATTTCAATCCTGTCTTATTTCCATTTTAACCCAGATGATTAAAAGTTGCACTATTGGTTTGAATATGATTGAATATAGGTAGACTCTCTGAAAAAAAATGCTCAGAGGACCAAGAACAAATTTGTTGCTGAGAACCCATTTAACATGGGGAGAAGTCTCTATAAGACTAGATAACATTTATTTGTATGGAGAAAATTGTTGTGGACAAGATCATTGGAGAGAGAATTCAGCTGCATTATTAAATAAAAATTGGGTACATTTCCAGCCATTCTACAAAGAACTGAAAACTTATGAACCAGCCCTCAAAGGTCATTTCTTGAGGAGTTTAAAACAAATTCTGAACCAGTTCCCTTGCCATTGTTTTCCCCCCACTTGAAGTCGTCTTGTTTTTCACTCCGCATACGAAGCAATTGTTCATTAAGCGGAAAAGGTAACTAACTGCATTGTTTCTACTGTTACCTTGAAGAAAACTGTTTTTCTTTCTTTTGGACTGTCCTCATTTCCCCCGGTTATGTCAAATGTTAACCTTGAAGAAAATGACAGAATGTGTGTTCGCAGGTATTCGTGAAGCATCCGATTCAAGACGTTTGTATGATTCTATGGGACAGAGCTCATGAAGTTCCAGAGTGGTACTATGACACAGAGTTTGTTCGTATGATCAAGGTTAGTAATCATCATAAAGGTTTCACTTGTAAACTTTATTCACAAATGAATACATCATTGTAGAGAAACATTTACATATAGCACACCACAGTATTAAATTAGTTATACTTTTAAATACAGTTGAACATCTCCAAGTCAAATTTCAAAGAACCAGGTTCTCCTAAACTCAACTAATTATTCCCATCAAAATTTTTTCTGTTAGAATTTTCCAAAATTTCCCATTAAAATCAAATAGAATTCAAACCTCAACTTTTAAAAACCATCCTATGGCAAGTACCTCTTTTCCCCCTCAATTTTGAGAAAAAGGTGCAAATGATGCTCAAGTAAATACAATACAATTTTATTCAACACATTAATATTAATCCAACGTCTTTCAGAAAGTTGGGGTTTTTATAACAATAAGTTCCAGACTTACAGTAATAGTTCGTCTAGTTTTTATGAGCCCTATGTAGTGGCCATAGAATTTTCTCATCATCGTCTACCCGGATGTCGTGATCCTACTTTTCTTCAAAATACTTCGCCTTGTTTTTGTGGGCTCAACTTCTGAAATGTATATTCATCACAAGATGGCCACTTTTTCGTCAGCGCAAATGTCGTAAATCCAACTTTTTTTTTACTTAACATTCAATTTCATCCTACATCTCGTTATTTTCTCTGAGTACCTGCGGATTACCGTTTGAAATGCCATACCTTTGATTCAAAAAAAATTTTAAATGCACAAAATTTGATTTTCAGGAGTGGGACGACATGCGGATTTCATACCAGGCTAGCAAGCGAGTCGGTTTGGTACAGGCTCGTGATTACGTGATGGTAAACCGACGGGTGGACGAGCCCGACAGAGGATTGGTTTATTTGGTGTTCGCCAGCACCACTTACAAGGACCTGCCAGAGCTGGATGACGTTGTGAGAGCGGAATCTGGTCCAGCGGGGTACCAGCTTGTTACCACCACTCAAGAGGATGTCAACGGCAACAAGGTTAGTCGGATGGTTACGTTTTTATACTAGGTTTATACAAAAGCATACTGAATCGGATGTCAGATGCCTTTGATTATAAGGCAAACGTGTAACTCGATCCTGTACGTGTACCTCGTCAATGAAAAGATTTTGTCATCAAATACAAGCCGCTTTTCTGAAATGTATATTTATTATATTCAGTACAGTAAAATGATATAATTGTACTTCAGTTATGACCTTAGTAGTGCGACGAGTTATAGCTTAAATATTAAATTACTGATGCGTAGGACTAACAATTCTATTAACCCTCGAATAATTTATTTTCAAGAAATTTTTTTTTTACCGAAGCATTACAAGAAACTTGTGCTTCTTTTCCCAGCTGCAGTCATAATTAGACGCACCTCAGTTTTTTTTAGAATGTATATAAATCATGTATATTTATATCCAGTAAGTACCTCAAATTTCAGGACAAAATTTTTATTTTATTTTATCTGTATGCAATGGATATATTAAAAAAAATTGGTCAAACCTTTCAAGCCTCGTGTCCAAATTAATTATTCTCTTTTCAGTTAGAACATCAATGAATAATGTATAAAGTAGTTCTAATATTTCAGCCAGAAAATAATTTATACTAATTAATCTAATGTAATGAAACCCAAACTTCCCCCGCCCCCTCAACTTGAAAAATTATTGAGTCCCTTCAAATTTAAAGTTGAGAGGTTCAACTGCATTTTCAAACTTTTCATCGGGCAATTTTCTTGGAACTTTAGTACTTCATTTAAATGGGACATTTCACGCTCTTTAAGATAGGTCTAGTCTACATTTTTTTTTAGCAGAAATTAATTCCTCTTATTCAAAATGGTTTAGTCCAAAACTTTTCTTCCATTGTTATAATTTTCATGAAACCAGACTAAGACTTTCTCGGATACTGTATTTTTAATGCCACTGGAATAATGATGGGTTCAGTGAGACATGTTCCTGAAATTAGCCGGAATTATATTTCCATAGGTGGATGGAACCATGATCCGCTGGATTCTAAACATGAACATGAAGCTGCCTGCAATTGTTCCACAATCAATTCTCAATCGGCTGCTGCCCATAAGTATGGTGGAATTCCTAAAGAAGCTCAACGAGAGACTAGACTCAACATACCAAACATCTAACAATGACGTGAACTCTGCATGATCTTGAACTTTCATCAAGAATCAGTTAATTCTTGATACAGTATGACTAAAGATTCTTACTTCTTTCGCAAGCGGGATGATGATTGATTTGTTCAGGTGTTCTAAAACCACCGGTGCTGACTTGACTGCTGACAAGAGAATTGGATCTTCCATAAATTTGGTACAAATTGATCAAAAACTTATTTTTCTTGCATCGATCAAGAGTATATTATTGTCGCTTCGAGCATAGAACAGAGTCGAGAGATCTGGGCAAAACAAGTGGCAATCAAAGCAAACTTCCTTGCTTGAAAGTATGATCACAGATGGGCGCAACACGCAATGAACACACTCGGAATACGCGCTGAACAAGTCCGTTCATTGCGTTGCCAAGACAACTGAGCGCATCCTCAAAACAGCGTAGTCTAAAAACAAGTAAGATGTACATATAGCAAGTGCAAAACAAATTGAAGTGCACTGGCAAATTTAAAAATAAAATCTCTATGAATTTGTTGGAACATTTTAATCTTTTTTTTTTAGCAGTTTTAATACAGTGATGGAAGTGAATGCTCATATTTCTAAATTATTAGGTAAATTTTCAAAAATACACCTTAAATATACAGGTGAACTCTACTTACAAAAAATATCAAGGGACCAGATAAAAATTTGTTGTAAGAGAATCCTTGTAACATGGGTAGAGGACTTAACAACATTACAAGACCAAACAAAAATTCGTTATACAGAGATAATTGTTGTAGACAGTGACCATCCTCCTAGTTCCAAACGATGACATTATTCTTCAATCTATCACAGGATCAATGAACAGCAAAGATTGAATTACAGGTAGACTCTCTCTACAACAAAATTCAAGGGACCAGGGAAACATATTTGTTGAAAACATTTTTTTGTCAAGAAGCCTGTACACAGTAATGACAGTATCTTATTCAGGTGAGCTCTCTCTACAACAATCATGCCCACACTGATTTTCTCTGTATAAATAATTTTTTGTGTTCCCACAGGATTCTCTACTCAAGTTATAAGTGTTCTCTTCAACAAATTCAAGGGACCAGAGAAAAGTTGTTGTCAAGAGTCCACTTGCATAGTATAGGATACAAGGTACAGGCTTTTTGTTCTTTCTCAATTGATCAAACTTTATACATTGCCCATTGAAAAAATATCAAGCAAGCCTCTTCCAAGTTAAACAATATTAAGGTGCCAGATGAAATTAAGTTACAGTATTTGCATTATTGCCTGCGACTGAGAAACCATGTTTTACATCATTGCAGTTCTGTACTTTGTTTCCCCTATTGACGCCCCTTTGAGCACTCGCTGTTTTGAGACACACTCAACTGCCCGGTCCCGGTTCATCACATATCCGTCCTGCCCAAATCCCCCAAAACCGTGTTCACAAAATCCCGCGGCAAATCCGGTACTTCGTCCGTCTCGGGATCCCCCTTAAAAACTCGATGCATACGCTCACCGCCTCCAACAGCACCAGCAATTTCGACAAAGGCTGACGGTAGTTTGTCACCAAAGTAGATCTTGGTGTTACTCGCCAGGGCCTCGATTCGACGCAATTCGAGATACTCCGGAGTCAGGACGAGTTTGTTGCTGGTGGCACGTTGCGCAGCTGCGTAAGTGTCAGAGTCGGAAGCAGTTCGCCGACGAGCGAGTTCGATTTCATTTTCAATCTCCGCAATCCGCTGCTGGCTTTCCTTTTCCATTATCTTTTGCCGGAACCGGATTTCGGCAACTTGGGCCTCTTTTTCAGCCTCGATCACGGAACGCTTCCGTTCCGTTTCCGCGTCCTTCTCGACTACTCGTTGACGTTGGACAGAGATGAGTAACTTGGTCTTCTCGCTTTCCCTAAGAGAATTACGGACGATGCCTCGGTTAATGGACATGATTCGTTTCAACAGGAAATCAGTCTACCAAAAATTCATGTAAATGCTACAATTGAACCTCCCCGAGTCGAATAAAGGCTGAATTTTTTCCAAATCCCTGCTTAACGTAAAATATCAGGGTTCAAATACAGTACAAGTAAATAAACGCCCAGGAATATGAAAAAGAAAAACGATCGAGACTTACATGAGTTCGTAATTTTTACGAATGCTTTCCGGGATTTTCGGTTTGGTGACTCGAACAGCAACAACTTTCAACCCAGGCGCCATTTCGTTCAAATCCGTCTGTAATGCCTTCTTCAAGTTTTCGTCGATTTGGTCAAATAAGTCGATATACACCTTTCGAAATAGAATCGAGAAGATCAGGATTGTTGTTATGAAAAATGCGAAGGCACAAAAACAATACTCCTTACGCCTTCAAACTTGACGAAGTCACGTTCAATTGAATCGCAAAAAATGAATTTGCCACTAACTTCATGAACTGGTTCTGAAAGTTACTTCGGAGCCTCACCAATTCAAGAAGAATGAGAAAACTAGTCAACAATTTTTTAAAATACCTCATATCATTAAACTTCTACGCTTCGAAAAACTAAGTTGGAAAAATGAGAAAATCTAATTCAATTACATTATTCATGTACAGTATTTTACAAGCAGTGGAATAAAAATAAAGGAAGGTATCTCACTACTCTCAAGTGTCACCAACTGTTAGGGCCACACGACTACGAGTACAGTATTGATTTTTAAAAGGACTCAACAAACAAAATTTTCTCACGAAAGATTTCTGAAAACGGAAGCCGAGGAACAAATATGTCCCTCCCTATATACGCTCTGAATTTAACTTTCTCCAGCAATATCATGTAAAAAATATTTTTTTTTAGAAGTTCTCGATCATTTTTTACAAAACCAATTTCCAAAATGTGAATCGAGATTCACTGACCTCATGCAAATTGTGAACGCTGCAAAACTGGTTCAATTCATGATGAATCTTGTTGAATATGAGCGACTTGTCGTAATCGGCTGTGTAGTTCTTGACTATGGCATGCACTGCGAGGCAAGATCACAACCGCATTAATTTTTCAACAAAACCAAGAAATGGACCACAAAAAAAACTCAAACCTGATCCCGCGTCTAGGATATTCACAACTTCAATTCTGTCAAAGTAAATGATCACACCACCACTTGTTCCACACGGAACTCCGGTAACCTCGTCAGTCTGCAACGTCACCTGATCAAAATAAGAATAAAAAACAATGAAAATCAATTCATATCAAATCAAATTATAAATCATCACCTGAACAGAACGATATGATGTCAAAAAAGGAATCATCATGTGGAAGCCTGGAGCGGACACCGCCGTAAGCAGCGCACCACCCTAAAAAAGAAAAGTTTAAAAATTATTTAGCAGATTATAAAATGTTTGAAGAAAAAAAAAATGTCAACTTCTTTGTGATAAGGTAACGTAATAAATTAGAAGATCAACGTTCGGAGGAATAATTTCAGAGGAAAGAAATTTGAAATTCATATTTTGAGTACTGCACCACAAATATGGACAGTCTAGCCAAAAAAAATACAAAATAATGCTTAAAAGATAACTCACCCTGTAATACACACCCACGTGGCCCTCTTCAATTTTGTGGACGCTAAAATTCAACATACCAGCCAACCCGAGCACAAGAATAGCTAACCATTGCTGCCTCGTCGGTAACATCTGCGAAACACAACAACACGAACGTTTTTCCACACTTGCAAATGAAAAAAAGAGAACACGAATGATAACTTGAACTCAGCATAAAATGATAAATTATCCATTTTATATTCTGAAAAGTGGCACATTATATTTTAATTGCCATTTTCAATCGAGTATTCGGGTTGGTTCAAAAGTTCTGCCATCCTCGGAATTCCGGTCATAAAGAAAGATGAAACTGATTGGTTTGTAGTACTATTCAAGCCTTTTCTAACTTTTTCCAGTATTCGTCCACCACTTTTTTAAAGAAAAGCTAGATGTGAAGTGTGTAGATCTTAGGTTTACCCTACCAATAATTACAGGTTCTTTAAATTTGCAAGAATGCAACCAGACGTTTGAAGAAAAAAAAAAAAAAAAAAAAAAAAAAACCTTTTAGGAAAAAGGCCGCATAAAAAAAAAAAAAAAAAAAAAAAAAAAAAAAAAAAACCTTTCAGGAATTAGGCCGCAGCTCCTATCTTCGAGGCCAGGTTGGACAGGTGGCAATATAAATGCTTTTTGGATTTGACGAATTCTGTGTCTGGGATATTGATAATTGATGTTAACAGTGCCCTAATACGTCAACTACATGTAGGCTCAAACCGAAGTGCAGATGGAAATGTGAAACAAAACCAAATGCAGCACCCGTAAATTCAAATTTTGTTAGTCTAAATTTCAAATTTTAGCAACACAATTCACCAAAATAAATACCGTATGTTTTGTGTCGCATAAAACTGGGTTTCGCGTCTTACATGGGGATAGATTTTCTCAAAAATTAAGTTGCGCATCTTACATAAGGGCACATGGCACTCAATTAAATAAGGCATTTATCGCACAGTGGTTCGGAGAACTCTGACCGAAAGATCTTTTTCAAATTACATCATGGCAATAGCACAAATTTTAAACCAATGCATACCCGAGAAAAAATCCAAAAAATATTGTATGAGGGATGATTGATTCATTTTCCATTGGGCTGAGATAATGGATAGTTTACCATGATACACAGGATTTAAAATAACTTCCATCTCGGTCCTTTTCCACACAAATTTCAATCTTTTTTTTTGTAGAAAACACCCACAATCACTACTCCATCAAGGAAACGAAAAGGGATTTCACTAATTCAACCTCAATTCACATCAACGCACCAGCCCTCCATGGCATTCTCAACTGCAACCCCAAGTGCGACGCACATCAGCGTGAGACCCATTGCGAGAAAACATTTACATAACTCACCAGTTTCTCTGATCAACTGACAGACACTGCCGCTAAAAATCACTCAAATGAATCGTCTCTGAAAAACGTCACGGCTTCCAACGTTCGAAAAAAGAGCTGAATAGCTCTTCGGCATTTCTTATACTCCTCGAATGACAAGAACGATTCCAAATTAATCATAGCCCATCTTGAACTTTTCGTCTTGGTCCTTGTAACACTCACTGGAATCCATCCAAATAAAATCGTTTTCAACTCCGAAAATCATTCTCATCCATGATGCTTTCACGTGCTCAAACACAACTATGCACAATGCCCAAAACCGTCAGATATTTTTAACAATCCAACATTGTAAATGTTTCAGGATTAAAATTCCAGCGCACGCTTAGATTTGAGATAAAATTGAACCAGGATCACCGTTACACGAGGGATTGCTTTGAATGAGCATCGGGATCATCGAAACATCTACAAATTTTGACCTACACCTTCACCTACAAATTTGGTCACTCAATCACTAAAATTGGTGGAGGATCCCGAGGTAACTTGAGCAAACAAAAATCCACAACGCTTCGCTTCAATAAAAAAAAAAAAAACACCAGCGAAGGCGTCGCGCCTTTTTGAACTGCGCTCTTTGATCACTGCGTACGCGCGTAAAACAACAGGTACGGCGTTATCGCCTTCGGACCCCGTTCGTCCAACACGGCGGCCATTTCCGCTTCCGTAAGGCGCGTGATGCAACAGTCGTCGCACTTGATCCACACCCGTTCTCCCGCCGGCACCAGCGGCATGCAACAATTGCTCTCCTGACGCCTCCCGCCCTTGCCGCGCGTCACTCGCGAATATGACACATAATGCCCGCAAGACATGGAGCCCTGATGCTCCACCACGCATTGAAGCGCGTACGGCAAGTGTTGCGTCGCCGAGTTTTGACGTTGTTGACTCGACGCGCGCCTCACCGGTGTTGACCTGCGGAGAGGTGAAGACCAGATTAGCGGTGAAACTCTACCGGGGGCTGGAGTTAGAAGGAACACAAAATGTGGATAGGGGTCGTCTACAGCAGGGCTTTTCAACCTTTTTCAGGCGCGTACCCCTTTTCACCCTCAGGAACAGGCACGTACCCCTAGTGAGTTAATATGTGGGTGTATATCAAATAATAAACCATGTCTTTAGAATGGTAATTAAAGGTTCTCATTCCATTCAAAATAAAATGTAATCCCTTAATTATTAAATCAATAATCATCTACTTGAATAAATGTGGTTACTCTTGAGGAGAAATTTCAGACATTCTGGATCCAGAAAAACAACTACTCACAATTTATTTTGATGAAAAAACTATCGGTTTGTTGGGATACAATAATGGCATGATTTCAGAATAAATCTAGAGATTGCCATGAATTTTTAGTAATTTAAAAATTAGAAATTTCTAACCTGAACTATTATCATAAAAATATAATTTGCTTTCTTTTCATATGCAAAAATTTGTGTGTTTTGAATTACCCAGAAAGCTGCATGGCAAGCTTGAAGAACCAATTTTCAATTTTTACCAAAGCACATATGTTAGGAATATTCAGAATTTTCTGACAACCTTTTGGGTTTCCAGAAAGATGGTCCACAAATTTTGATCATCAGTCTGGTGCATCCCCATTTACATAGATGCATCACTATTATTCTGGATTTTTGCAGATATGTTTTTAAGGAAAACAATGAGGCCTCTTTTCTAAATTAGGAAATCATTATTTCAATGCAGTAAAATTTTCATACCACAGTTGTGGCAATGAGTGCATTCAGCATACAAAACTTGAAATTCAGGGGAAAAAATCAAGCCACAGAATTTCCTGCAGCAGTGGTTAGGCTTAATGACAGAATTGAAACCACAATGTTGTCTGTAATATTGGCACACAAAAATGCAGCAGAACTGCAAAAATGTCCTCCCAGATGCATTCAAAAAACTGCTGGGAATTTTTTACATGACTTTTGAACTATGACCATCAAGAACCAGCACTCATACTCAAAATGTCTCATTTAATCCTTTGGTGGTGAGACTGGTAAAAGCCTCCTCCTCTCCATCCCAGGGCAAAGTTGGACTTTTTCCTCTTGGGCCTGCATAACATTTTTGCATGAGGTTATGCAACCTCTGCCAGGTGGGAAGGGCAATAGTGGAATTTTTCTGGAGATAAAGAAATGCCAGGAAAGTCCTAAGTAAGACTTTTTACATATTGACCTCTAAGCTGGGCTCCTGGCTTTCAACCTTAAATTTAATCTTTGAATGGGGGAGCAACAGAGTTGTGGCCCACTGGGCCACAACTGGCACATGAGCAGGGGGATTTTATTACTTGTTACAATCCCAACTTAATCATAATGAAAATTAGTTGAAGAATTTTAAAATATTCAATGATATTGAATGATTACATTTCAAGGACCATCAGTAATTATGCACATTGCCCAGGTGTGGTTGGACATTGCACTTGCATAATTTAATAAATTTGCTTGCCACTTCCCTAGGTTTGCAAAATTTAGAAAAATGTATATTGTGTTCCATTCCCTTCCACTCCCTGAGTGCCCCCCCCCCCCATGAAGTAAAACATTTTGGCTCAATTTTTGAAAAAGTTTT